TAAAGTGTCCGATAGAAGTAGGCAAAAGGGGCATCAATATGCATTCGAAGGCTATATTCAAGACATACAGGTGAAACGCAAGAAACAAATAACGCATCCAAAATAAAGGCAAAAGCATAACGTTACTGATCACAGTCAAAAAATGAATCACCGCATTTCCTACTAATCGAGACGGAGGCTGGGACTAACAATATCAGGGAGCAACACTCTTCATGCAAAGCTGGGCAGGTCTCTATTCACTTCTATAATCGTTATTCAGTGGCGTAGACAGGGGAGGGGCCATGGGGGCACTGGCCCCTCCTGAAAACTGATTGGCCCCCCAGTGTGCCTAAAATCACTCAAAATTTCAAATCATGATCTTTCAACTTGTAATAGAATAATTCATGATTCCGTCGTGTCGCGATGCTTCTCAAAACCACACGGTAAGTTGATCTATTTTATACAGCTTATTTTTTAAGGAAAGACGATGTGTATTCACCCTGCTGAGGGGGATGTGATAAAGCCTGGAGTGGAGCAAAAGCACGTTCCTCTCTCCACTCTAAGCATTCTGTAATGGTCCACTCCGGGTTTTCAATTCTCAAGTAATCTCAGTTTTTGAGAAGTGCATGTCAGGCTACAGCTCGTTTGCTGCGGTCCCATGATAGAAAACAGAACGCGGGTCAATAAAACGAAATATATATAAAACACCATTCTGCCTCATTTCATTTATACTGTAAATAAACATATTATCATAAACAAATTAATGGCCACACAACTGTGGTTCAGGCAACACACATTGATTATCTTCACTGCATACATTTATAACAACACGAAATATAAAACACAACCCTGCTTCTTTTTGTTTTCATTTTAAAAATATGAAACATTATTGATTATTAAAACTTATAATATCCCGTTCAAAAGTATAAGTTGCCTAATATGTATATAGGCTATAATAAGCCATACAATGAGAAATAAAGCAAACAATTAAGTTAAACATAAGTCAGCTCTCTAATAGGCTACAAGAGTAAAGTTAAATAGCCTATATATAAAGTTATGAAACTTCACTTTGCCCTCAGCCAAAATGATTTGCCATGGAACAAACTATATATTAATATAGACAGTTTAGCATTGTTTGGTCTTATAAGATAAATAAAAACATGCACTGAAAAGTTATGTAGATGGTTGATTATTTGTCAAGATAAGTAATTGTTTTTCATAGATTAAAATAGCTTTAAAAAAATAAAAATAGCTTTTTTTGGCTACACGAGTATTACGTTGTATTTATTAGCAGCGTGTTCTAGTGTATCAACAACCGGTATGAGAACTGAAATCATAACCTAAAACATTATAAAACGGTCTAACTAGTATAACTTCACACTCACAGTAAGGTTTGAAGCAAAAAAGATGTGCTTGTTGATCTTCACGGGGTTTCGCTGACTGAGGACGTCCACACAGTTTAACGTAATCCAAACACGACACTTGTCAGGATTTTACTTCGGTTTTGGGAAGGGAAAAACGGACACCCCCCTCCAACCTCTCTGGGAAACGCATATCTGTGTTACAAATGCACGAGGCACAACTTTAACCATATTTTGAATAAAACTTCGACGGTAATAGCCTGCCGAGACCAAAAATATGAGACGCCTGTGTTGAAAGTCAATGGAGCGCTGTGGAAAAACTGTCGGACCTCTGTGGGAGCTGGTTCTTGGCTGCGCTGTGATTGGTCAATCTACATTCTAGGGCGTGGCTTAGCCAAAGGTGAATTGCACCAGATACTGTCAGTGAATTCTTCTAAATCTTTCATCATGTTCATTAATGTTTATTCAGTAAATGATAGTGAAGAAGAGATTCTCACGCTTGATTCACTGATCTCAGTGTTTAATCCCTTATCAAAAGTGTTACATTATTAACAGACTTAAATTTGACTTTATCACCACTGTGAAACTACAGCAAGAGTTCCAATAACATTCAGTTATAATGATGGATTTTTAAACACATCATGCACAAAAAACGAACAGCATCCTTTAGAGCACAGGCGTAAGCACGGGTGTACTGGTGCCACCCACAGTGCCAGCTGGCACACCTAAAAATAGTTGCAGAATTATGTTCTTAATAAAAGTCTAAATAATAAGTAATAATAAGTCTTAATAAAACTGTTTTTTTTTTAACTTGGACTATTGTTGTTTACTTGCAATATTTGTACATTTAAAATTTATTTACATTTTTTAAATTATTATCGTTAAAAAAACATCTATTTAGATACAAAATTGACAGTGTTTGTCAGTGTTATCTCACGGAACACATAACCGCATTACTGAATGATTCAGCACTTTGATTCAGAATCCGTCAAAGATTCAATGATAGTCTTAATACTTTATTAAGAGGACTTTTTTTTCCCCCTAAAGATGCATAAATATGACCAACTCTCTAATGCAAGTGGTGACAGTGGTGACAGTGAATCCTCTGATGAGAGCATCGGACAACCTCCTTCATTCAGTAAGTACATTTCATCATGAATTTAAACGACATTCATTTTGTGTTAGCAGCTTCAAACATCATATCACCCTCAGAATAAATATATATATAGAGTTATTATATTATTATTATTTTTTTCTTTGCAAAAATTAGTTTGTACTAAATTTATTTGAAAACAATCTTGTTTAAAGGGAAATTATTATAAAATTCAGTCCTGTGTAAGTGTATATAAATATCAATTGATACATAAAATTCAAGTGCTAAAATTCTTTGATGTCTTGTCTTCAAAATGATTGATTTGTTGGAATCCAACAAAAAAATTACAGTGTTACAAATATTTAAAGTTCATAGGGTCAGCAAAATATATTTTGAGAAAAAAACATACCTTAACATCCCTGGTTATACCATGGTCTGGGTGAATACTCGATTCTGATTGGCTGCAGGGTGTCCGTTAAAAAGTGATAGAGGACACCTAGTAAAGTAGTTCTGGTGAAACTGCCTGTTTACCATTCGAAATTAATAAATAAATGCGCTGCCTACAACGGCTGTGAGTAACCATAGCAACAGGCAGTCACATGCTCTATCATCTAACGTTAGATATAATACAACAATGAGCGACTTCGTGCTATTTCTTTTAACGTTTATGGAGAATATGGCAACTTTGACGACTGGTATGCTGCTGAAGAAAGAAAAAATGTAAATAAAACGGAGAAAATTACACCGCTGCTGCTCTGCTCCATTGAACTCTATTGGTAACGACGTAACTTGCGACCATAGTTGGATAACGATGCTTTCGGGAAACGCACCCCTGAATGAGACCCTGCGGGAGTTTTACGCAGCTGTCCAGACAACCAAGGCAGGAGAAGGCTGAACGTTACAGCGTTTCAAGCCTAAGGAGCCTGAGGCAAATGACCCTCTCTTTGATCTGATTAATTTATTGCCCTCTATAACGTTAAGCGCAAATCGCTGGAGCTCAGAGCTAATTGTTTTGTTTTTTATTGTTGTTTGATTAATTGTTTTATGTGTAATAAAAAAAACTATGCCTACCTTTGTGTTTCATGAAAAAAAAATGCATTTGTGAACCTGAAGGGATACGAGCTAAGCGGACTATAAATATCTCCGGTTGCTAGATAAACAGTCAGTCAAGTTATTATTTGTAAAAACTAGATTTAGCCTAATTAAAATATAAACTAATGTTTTATTTGGCAAGTGACCATGGTATAAGCGGGTTAATGCCCTCCGAGGTGTCCATTGTCAGGTTTTAATGGACTTCGGCGGAGGCAACCGTCCTCCGCTGCGCGTCGGCCGGTTTACGCCTCGCCGTCGTCCATTAAAACCTGACAATGGACACCTCGTCGGGCATTAACCCTTACTTATTACAGTTGGTCTGGGTTAACAGTTTTTCGATATCGTTGCCTTTACTGATACCGGTTCAATACTTCTTTTCTAAACCAATTTTCTGAAATCCGATACCAAAAATATGAAATTATTACTTATTACCTTGAAATATTTTGTTGGTTTGTCAGCCCAATAGTGACCCACAAAACTCAATTGTACAGTAAACTACTGACTACAGTGTTGCCAGTGTATAAACTTACTGTTTATTACTGTTTAAATACATTTTGTGGATGTGCCTTTTTATCCTTCACCTTTAATATATGGGATTGATATTTCGTCAAAAATATTATGGTCAAGGATCAAACAATAATAAGCATGAATCAAAAATTTAAAAACATGTAAAAGTATATTGCAGAAACTTAAAAACATGATGCAAAATGATCAGAATAGCAATCTAGGTGTGAAATGTTGTCTTTCGTAGCCATTTACTGTATCCACATAAAGCTAGATACAAGCTAGATAGCTTGAACTTCCATTCAAAAAGACTGAAATGAATAATTTCAAATCATTGTGTTGCCCTAACTGTATTACTGTATTGTTATTATACTTTTCTATATAACTGCAAAATGTGTTTACTTATTTACAATATACTTTTTGTCTGTAACTGCATGCTTTGAATTCTGTGTTCTTCCATTTTTAGTGTCTAATGAATGATCTGTAGTGTTTATAATTTTGACTTGCTGTGCGTATGATCTGAGAGCATGTGTGTGATTTTGAGGACAGGTAAAATGGTTTTAAGGCAATATGTTTGATTTTGCCAGAAGAGTCAGAGGTTCTGTGAATGTGGTGTGAAAGTGTGGTTTTGTGTTTAAGGTTTTAAGAAAGTGAGTGATGGTTTCAAGAAATGTGTTTTAGCAATTCAGAAAAAAACTGTAAGTTATTTCTATTAGTTTTAACCTCCATCTCAAGGTGTTTGTTTGTCTGTTTTGTTTCTTTAAGTACTGGATTTGAACCTCTTGTCCTTTTTTCATAACAGCATTAAACATGAGTGATTCCAGAGCAGCAGAAAGAGCAGGTGAGTTTAAGTCTGAATGCTCCTGTAACAGTGACTGTGAGGGTCTTTGTGATTTGCATATCTAAACTGAGTCTTACTGGCCTTTCTTAGCTGTGATGAAGTAAAAACAAGACTTCTCTCAACAACCAGTTTAATTCAATAAAACAAAGAGAAGTGGGCTTCAACAGATCCTGTGTGTGTGTGTGTGTGTGTGTGTGTGTGTGTGTGTGTGTGTGTGTGTGTGTGTGTGTGTGTGTGTGTGTGTGTGTGTGTGTGTGTGTGTGTGTGTGTGTGTGTGTGTGTGTGTGTGTGTGTGTGTGTGTGTGTGTGTGTGTGTCTGTGTGTGTGTGCCTGTCACAGTTGTTTCTACCTTCTGTGTATTCACATAAATAAACTGTATAGTATATATCTATGATAGACATAACACATATATAATATAAACTATATAATAAACTGTGTATATTGTATGTCTATATAATATACATAACATATCTATATAATATTATATGGATATATCATATTTATAGGATATTATGTAAATTAAATGGTAGTTTAATTTATTTAATATTTTGTTATATTTGTCACGATTCATGTTTGTGGTTCCCTGTCCCAGGTGTTTCTGATTAGCCCTGCCCACTTGTTACCTTGTTTGGCCTGTTTGTCTGTGTATTTATAGTCCTTGTGTTTCACTTGTTACTTTGTCAGTTGTTGTGCATGTTATGGTTGCTTTCGTTCCTCGTGGTTTTGTTCCTTTGTTCTGTTTTATGCTGTTACGTGCAGAGGAACGAATGCAAAAGTTGAGGTTCTAAATGCAGGAATTTTAATGAAATTTCAGGAATCAGAATAAAACAGAACAAAGGAACAAAACCACAAAAGTAACCATAACGTGTACAACAACTGACAAAGTAACAAGTGAAACACAAGGGCTCAGACAAACAGGCTAAACAAGGTAACAAGTGGGCGGGGCTAATCAGAAACACCTGGGGAGACTAATCAACAAAATGGGAAACAGCTGAACATGAAAGGACAGGGAACCACAAACATGAATCGTGACATAATTGAACATTGCACAACAGGAAATACAAACACCACATATTAGTGTTAAATACATGTATTAAATGATTAGCATTAACAGTAGCGGTTCTAGGCACGGGCGAACCGGGCAGTCGCCCGGGGCGGCATTTCTTCATGTCACGTGGGGGGCGGCACGAGCAGTTAAAAAAAAATACTCTGTGCCGCGAAGTTTTTCTATTTTTTATCATTTCGATTCAATTATTGGCAATGGTGTCCTGCTTGCTGCGGTGCCGTGCGCAGAAGCGATGTCAAGGGGATCTCCTGATTAGTTCACGTATCGCGTCTTTTGCGCGCTCGAGGTCGTTATTTCAAATCCTCTATGTTTCAAATAGGCTCACGGGAAGCGCGCTCATTATGCGCTCACGGGAAGCGCGCTCATAAACTTTTCAGTATGGGAGTGCACGTGCACCCAAACACTTGGGGGTGTTTTTTTCTCTTCTCCGTAAATAAATCTTTTAGCAGAGCTACAGCAAGCGTTTTTCTGTGTTGGAAATACATTAGCTACTAAAACTGCTTTGTCGTTGTGTAGACCGCAGTGTAATGAGTGCATGGTTCTATAGCAACGACAGCCATGGGAAAATCGGTACGAATTTTACTAATAAAAGATAAGCTACTGTGCATTATAAATGTCAGGAATGTATCTTTATTGACTCATTCTTTTTATAGAGATGATTTAAATGCTGAAATATGAGGTTTATCTTTATATAAAACCCTTTTTTGTGTGTTAACCTTTTTTTAAGTTTAGTGGGTAAAATGAAAGACACTCCTTTAAAACAAATCTTTAATGTTATTAACTTGGTGAATTGATTTCACAGTGTATTAGGCTTTTTGAACAAGATTCTGTGATCATTTTGGTCACCATATTATCTAATACTTTTCATAATGATCAACTAAAATCAATTTTAATTACGATTTTTTACAGTAGCCTATAATATGCAAAGTTGTTTTTTTTTTTGGGGGGGGGGGGGGGGGGGGGGCTCGAAGGGGGTCTCGCCCTGGGTGTAATTCAAAGTAGAACCGCCACTGAGCATTAATAATAATTATACCATGGTCTGGGTGAATACTCGATTCTGATTGGCTGCAGGGTGTCCGTTAAAAAGTGATAGAGGACACCTAGTAATGTAGTTCTGGTGAAACTGCCTGTTTACCATTCGAAATGAATAAATAAATGCGCTGCCCACAACAGCTGTGAGTAACCATAGCAACAGGCAGTCACATGCTCTATCATCTAACGTTAGATATTATAGGCTAAGGCCGGATTCACATATAGCGCCTAAAAACGCGTAGAAAATGCTGGGCGCGCCGCATTCTCCATTTTCCAAAGCGCCAGGGCGGTTGCGCTTCAGTTGGTTCTTGTCACATGACCTATTGTGCGCTTATGGTGCGCTTGCGGCATTCTGAAAAGTTGAGATGTTTTTATCTCGACGCGGCGCGGACGCGCTTGGAAAAAACGAGCGCGTCGCACCGCGACCGCGTCGCTTCCATTATGAGCGCGCATACCGCGCGCCTACATTTGAAATAACGAACTTGAGCGCGCAAAAGACGCGATATGTGAACCGGCCCTAATACAACAATGAGCGACTTCGTGCTATTTCTTTTAACATTCATGGAGAATATGGCAACTTTGACGACTGGTATGCTGCTGAAGAAAGAAAAAATGTAAATAAAACGGAGAAAATTACACCGCTGCTGCTCTGCTCCATTGAACTCTATTGGTAACGCCGTAACTTGCGACCATAGTTGGATAACGATGCTTTCGTGGAAACGCACCCCTGAATGAGACCCTGCGGGAGTTTTACGCAGCTGTCCAGACAACCAAGGCAGGAGAAGGCTGAACATTTACTCGTTTCAAGCCTAAGGAGCCTGAGGCAAATGACCCTCTCTTTGATCTGATTAATTTATTGCCCTCTATAACGTTAAGCGCAAATCGCTGGAGCTCAGAGCTAATTGTTTTTTATTGTTGTTTGATTAATTGTTTTATGTGTTATAAAAAAAAAAAAAAAAAAACTATGCCTACCTTTGTGTTTTATGAAAAAAAAAAATGCATTTGTGAACCTGAAGGGATACGAGCTAAGCGGACTATAACCGGTTGCTAAATAAAGAGTCAGGCAAGGCAAGTTATTATTTGTAAAAACTAGATTTAGCCTAATTAAAATATAAACTAATGTTTTAAAAATGTTTTATTTGGCAAGTGACCATGGTATAAGCGGGTTAATGCCCGACGAGGTGTCCATTGTCAGGTTTTAATGGACGACGGCGAGGCGTGAACCGGCCGACGCGCAGCGGAGGACACCTCGTCGGGCATTAACCCTTACATAAACATATAGTAATCAGTAGCTACTGAATATGTAGTAAATAATTTTTTGCCAATATATTTTTTAGTAATATTTGTATTTATATAGTGTTATTTTTGCTAATGGTAATTTTCAATCTGAATCTTGATTGTAGAAGTGTTAAAAAAACATAAATACACCATAAAAGAAGAACTCAGACGAGGGATTTCAGGAAGAGTGTTTCTGGTGAAGAATCCAGATGAAGATTGCTTTGTGGTCAAAGAGATCAACTACAGAGATGTAAGTACAAGCAAGAGTTTATTAAAGTATTGAACATTAATTAGAGAAGACACTGTCGTCTCACAGCAAGATACCAAAGTCCCTGGTTCAATGCTAAAGAAACTGTACGTGTATGTGTGTGAATGTGTCCCAACTCTGGCATAAAACCTGTGAGAAATCCAATTGTGTGTGAGAAGTGATCCCTGCAACAAGCGGAAATAAAGCTATGAAGATAGATGGAACATATTAATAAGATCATAGATAATCATCACATAGATTAAACATGTTCTTTGCAGAATGTGAATTTTAATCTAGACGCAGCCAAAAATGAAATCAACATCCTGAAGGATCTGCAGCATGGATATATCGTTGGTTACAAGGACTCCTTTGAAGGTGTGTCTGTTTAAATTATAGAAAGAGAAGCATGACTTGCAACATACACCTAGTGTGGGTGCATTTTTCCGTTACCTTATGCACAGCAAAATCCCCAGTGTTAAATTAACACTGAGAAGTGAGAATTATATAAACTCTGAGCAGAGTGTTAAATGAACACTGAAGCAGTGTTAAAGTTAATGAGACAATTAAGTGAATAATTGAATGATGATTGAGCATTATTGAAGACACCTGATGATCACAAGCAGAATCACTGAAGGACAAAACCGGAATTGTAGGTCACCATTATGTTGATCAGTGTTTGCTTTAGCTGGGCTCTTGACCCTTATTTCTTTAACTTTAGATTTTATCTGGCTGCTATATGTGACTTATAACAGCCAGATGAAAAAAGGTGATCTGATGGTGTTGGTTGTGTTTCAACACAATCATCAATTGACCTGAATCGCTGAACTTGTCAAGAGCATAAATTCTAAGTTAAAATTACCATAAGGATTTTAGCAGCATGGTCATTTTAGGACATAACATTTTTAACCTTTTCAATGAAAAATGATAAAAAAAATTAAAAAATATCCCAAAAATATTTTATATAGGCATACACAGACATCAAGAATTAACACACTAATCTCAGCAATGGTGGCAAACAGATCACCTCTGAACATAAGCTCATTATTTATTCATGCAGCAATGCATGATGGGAGCCATGAATGAGTTTTGATTGGTGGCACCAAGAATGCAACGCAACATGCTTTATAACTGTTACCATTGTTGAGATTCACAGGCTAATTATTGATGTCTGTGTGTCTTAACATTGTAAAGAAGTAAAAAATTATATAAGAAAAGCTTTTAAGAAATTATTTTGAATATTCTGTAGATATTAAGAATATTATGCTGCACAAGGTCACTGCTGCTATAATTAATAAAGTAAATCTCACTCAGAAATTAGATTCTATATGAATTCATTGATTAGGGTTAAATGATTGTGTTAAAACACAACCATCACCATCAGATCACCTTTTCTATTTGTTCATCTGGCTGTTATAACTCATGTACAGCAGCCAAACAACATCTACAGTTAATGATTTAAGGGTCAAGAGCCCAACTAAAGCAAACACTGATCTCCATAATGGTGACTTCAGTTTTTCTCCTTCAGTGATTCTGCTTGTGATCATCAGGTGTCTTCAATAATATCTCAATCATCACTCAATTATTCACTTAATTATCTCATTAACTTTAACACTGCTTCAGTGTTCATTTAACACTCTGCTCAGAGTTTATATTATTCACACTCTCAGTGTTAATTTAACACTGGGGATTTTGCTGTGTGGGTAACTGTAGCCTTCAACCAGGAGCAGTTGTCATCAGGTGGTACACAACCTTCACTGGGTGTTTCGGCCCTCAACCACAACACCCTCCAGTTAGTGGGCCAGCAGTGATGGCCAGGTCACTGCCTATAACAACAAAAGTAAATTTTGCGCTTTTTTTAGAAAGTGAAACCATTTTTATGAGTGTGAACAACTAACAGTTTTGGGGTAAGATGGGGAAAGATGAGTGATGTGCATTTACTTTTAATGTGTAATATATATGGGTTAAAAATTTTAATTCATTTTAACCTGAAACTCATTTTAAAAATCTGAGGGGTCCAAGAGGGGTTTTGTGGTTGAAATCTAAAAAAGTATAAAATACTTCCCTCACGGGTCAATTTGACCCTCTACACCAGTGTTTCCCAACCCTGTTCCTGGCGGCACACCAACACTGCGTGTATTCTTTGTCTCCCTTATCAAACACACCTGATTCAACCCATCAGCTCATAATCAGGTGGGTTAATGAGCTGATGGGTTGAATCGGGTGTGTTTGATTAGGGAGACAAAGAAAACACGCAGTGTTGGTGTGCCGCCAGGAACAGGGTTGGGAAACACTGCTCTACACTATCGATTAGAAGTTTTGAATTAAGGTTTAATTTATTTGATAAAAAAATACAGTGATATTGATAACAGACAACTATTTTTTTACTGTATAAAATAAGTGTTTTCTATGTAAATATATGTAATTTATTCCTGTGAGCAAAGCAGTGACTGGAGGAATGAGGCTGATGAATATTTTTTTAGAAATAAGTTCCAAAGAATGTCCAATGCTTAGTTTATACATATGTAATTTCCTATATTTGTAAATGAAGATATAATAATACATCATTGGATTTATTTTTGGATGTTTTTTATGATGAAGAATCTGGATACTTCTACATTGTGTCGGAGTACTGTGCAGGAGGAGATCTGTACAAGAAAATGAAAACACAAGAAAAGACACCTTTCAGAGAAGAACAGGTGAGTGTAATATGCACTCTGAGTCAGAGAGATCATTTGCTCTAGAGCTGTCCATTATATTATGTGATGCTAATTGTAGCTCTTATTATATTTTATAGTGTATTTTGTCAAAAGCATTGCATTAAAGTTTGTTTCTGGTGTAGTACCAAAATAAATCTTAATTTACTGTTTTACTGCAGGGAAAGAGGTTAAAGTCAAATGGATAAACCATTGAGATAAAAAAAAACAAAAAAAAACAAGGGAAAATACATTTTCGGTCAGCGCCAACTATTTGTCAGGTGTGAATTAGCCGAAGGTGTTGTGCAGAAAGTAGGAGCTCTAAGCAGATGTCAGTCACTGCTTTTCCGTGTAATGGAAATTTTAATATTGGCTGATACTAATAGACATTGCATAGAAATATCATCAGTTGGTAACACTTTATTTGAAGGGGTGTGCATAAGACTGACATGACACTGTCATAAACATGAAGGAGTCAGTTTGATTATCAAACTTAAAGAAATTATTTAGCTTTATGTTAACATTACATTACCCTGTCATATGTGGTTGCTTTTGACTTTGGCCGTAATGACACCATTATAACTGTGACATGAATATTTTACTTGTCCTCAAGTAAAGTGGAACACATTGGACTAGTTATGATTTCTGGACTCATATACACTCCAGGTGTGTTAATTTAACACGGGAGATTTTGTCGTGACGAAGAGCCGTAGTTAACTGACCAGCTGAGCCATATCGCATTAAATATCGCTGGCGATACGTCCTCGATATTAACGCGATTTGGCTCAGCTTGTCAGTGATCTACGGCTCTTTGTAGTAAATGCCGCTCCATCTGAAAGCAGGTGAAGGTGATTTACTGCTAATCAAGGAACCGGCTTTACTGATTAGATGAGCATAACAATATCGTGCGATTAATCGTGGTGCAGCCCTACTAATCAGTAAAGCCGGTTCCTTGATTAGTAGTAAATCACCTTCACCTGCTTTCAGATGGAGCGGCTTTTACTAGCATCATCTTCAGTTCCGGAGCGTAGCGGCCTTTTCACAAATGCAGCGATCGACATCTGATCCTTCCCTGGAAGAAATGCTTGGTCATTCATGAGAAGGATCAGTAATCCACCGATGTGGTCATACTCTCCGATGTGCTAGAGGAGTGTGAGGGAGTGGGGAGTGAGTCTCATCAGGGAATGCTCACTGTACTCCTCAGATCACCAGTGCTTTTAGTCAATTAAAACAGCCCTTTACTGGTGCAAGAGGAACTATCAGGGAATAGGCAAAGAGACTCCACCCCGTTTGAGCGCTGAATGACGCGTGCTGAGTTGCCGTGAAACCCACACTGTCAGCTGGCAGCTCAGCGGCACATGGGAATGTTTGCCATCAACGCTGTCAACCTTTTAGAACCTAAATATACCAAATAAAAACCAGCACATTGCATGGAATACATTATTGCTGTCTTGTTTCTTCTGTGTGCAGATCATTGACTGGTTTGTTCAGATTTGTCTGGCTCTGCAGTATCTCCATGAGAAGAATATTCTCCACAGAGATATAAAACCACAGGTAGACATTGACACAGGTCATTTAATCATTTATTAAAGTGAAAGGTGAATGTGTTTGTGTTCATGTGATGATTTATGGTGTTCTTCTAGAATGTGTTTTTGACTGAGGAAGGTTACATCAGTCTGGGGGATTTTGGATGCTCAAAAGTGCTGCAAAGGTGAAATTAAATAGTAATAGGATTTGTGATTGTGAAGATATTTTGTCTGTTCCATCCATTTAAATTTACATGTTTGATTTCTCTGTTTCAGTGATGATGAATATGCAACATCAGTTGTGGGTGCAGAGCTCTATATCAGCCCAGAGATCTATAAAAAGAGACACAATTCCAAAAGGTATGCATTTTTGTAAAATATATGGTAATACACACCATAAGGCCTGGTTTCACAGACAGGTTTAAATTAAACCAGGATAAGGCCTTAGTTCTCTTAAGACATTTAGGTAGCTTTCATGAACATTAAAATAAATATTAAAACATCACTAGTGTGCATCTTGAGATATTAAAATATGCTTTTAGTTAACATGAAAGTTAAGCATTCAGATGAAGGTCATCCACAACAATACAACTGACTAAATGTAATGGCAGTTATCATTAAAGGGATAGTTCACTTTGAAATAAATTTTTAATATGTTTTAGCTTATCTCAAGGGCATCCAAGATGTAGGTGTCTTTGTTTCCACAGTATTTTCAATTTTGACATTTTTCAGTCAAACCGTTGTTGTCTATCAGTCATACACTGGAGGTGAAGGGGGTCCACCAAAGAGCGATCGCTTGCGTGTGACGTCACTCAATATTTACACGGAGATTTCGGAAGTTTTACCTTTTACTAAACATATTTAGATTTACCGAAATCATCTTCCATTGCGGTTTCCCGTATATCTAAATGCCCAGCCCTACAACTTTCAAATAAAAATCTCCTGATAATTTACTCACCCCATGTCATCCAAGATGTCCATGTCTTACTTTCTTTTGCCAAAAAGAAATTAAGGTTTTTGAGAAAAACATTGCAAGATTTAATTTTAATTGCAAACAAAAGTTTGAGGCACAAAGGTCAGTCTCAATGCAGCTCAAAGACTCGACGTGTCCCCAGTCGAGAAATAAGGGTCTTATCTTATTTCCGTAAAAACACGCACCTTGAGTGTTTCCTGAAAATGACTAAAGATTCAGAGTTGACAGGAGAATCACACGGAAACAAGACAAGTAAAAATAAAGTCCAAGAAATTCGAAGAACACAGAGCTTAAATACACAGAGGATGACAATCACTAACATAATGGGGACAGGGGTAACCTAATGAACAATCAAGGAGATTAACTACAACACAATATAACAAGCAGACAGGGAAAACCAAATCTCAATGAAAATCAGAACATATAGATGTGATAGAATTGAGGTAACTAACTAAATTATACTGTCTTTATTTAGTGACATCTGGTCGTTGGGATGGTTGCTTCATGATCTCTGCATGCTGGATGTGTGGGTGAGTGTTTGTGTGTGTGTGTTATATATATATATATATATATATATATATATATATTATTTTATTTATTTTTTTTAAATCCCTCTATTCTTTAAAGTGGGTCTCCAATGTAGGGTCGCAGGGCAATAGACACGGACAAATGGCCTGTCCATCAGTGTGTTAAATCATGTCAATGCAAATTAAAATAATAATTTACACATTTATTCATTTAACTGACACTTTTATCAAAAGCACTTACAATTGCTATACGTGTCAGAGGCACTCGCGTAGCTACGGGTGGGCCTGGATGGGCCTGGGCCCACCCACCTGTCAGTCAGGCCCATCCAGTCAGTGGCCTCACAATGTAGCTGAAGCAGGGAATTCTGTTGCGATTGTCACAATACTTGACTAAAAATAAAAATAATAAAAATAATTATAATAATAAAAGAAATCTTAATGTTTCTTGATTCTTGTTTGGTTGTCATGGTGATGACGAAATGCCCGCGCAGTCAGATTGCGAACAGCCCATCCCCCCTTCACAACGACGTACACATTTCACAGAGGGAGACTGAAGTTTAGCTAAGAAGAAGTAACGTTATGTTAAACTAAAATGAAACAGAGCAACTTACTAAAGTTTGTGTCAAAAAGACCACGGCCGCTGCAGGAGGAAAATAATGCAGATGTTCAGGAGCCTCAGCCATCAGTCTCGAGTAGTAAGGAGCTGGACAGCCCTGCTGCTAGAGATTACAATCTCTCCCTCACCAGCAGCGCTCCATTCTACCTCACCTACACGCCAGTGTACAGGTACATACAGCCATGTCTTAGGATAAGTAATAGGCCTATATACAAATGTGCAATAATTAACACGAATGAATCATGATTTACTATATCAGCGTTATGTACGTTCATTTTTTCAGACTCGGCTAAGCCTAGGGCCAGCACTGTCCTGTTATAAGCTAGTCATCACAAGTAAGCCAATCTACGTATAGTTGCCGAGTTAATGTTGTTTATTTAACGTGGTTTATGTGGCCGCTGAGCCAGACTATGACCAAGCATTGTTTTTACACACTGTCCTGCTGATTTTATGATGGTGTTGTTTTGCATCTGTCAGATGCGCACGTGTGTGTAGTGTGGGCGGGGTCGCGTGCAGTGAAACTGCTGTTCTTATCGTTATGTTCTTAATACTGCTTATGATGATGACATACATGCTTGTGCTCTGATTAAACTGTGGTGTATTCAAGCAGGTTTAGTTGTGTTGGCCTATTTTGATCACAGATGCATTTAGGCTGTGCCCACCTGATTTTCTCTGGGCCCACCTACATTATGATTCCTGGCTACGCTAGTGGTCAGAGGTCGCACAACTCTGGAGCAACTAAGTATCTTGCTCATATACATACAGGGCTTGACATTAACTTTTTACTTGTTCACTAGCCAATTTTGCTAGTGGTTGTCCAAAATTACTAGCCACACAGCACTTTTACTAGCTACATTTTTATTGTTGGAAAATTACATTTTATATGATTAAAGTTGACAATGGGGCTTAAAACGTGCTAAAATTCACCAATTATATAATTAGCGCATAAGATTGTAAAGCCTCTTTAAAAAAAAAAAAAAAAAAAAAAGATACACCCATAAAATAGCTTCTTATTGTATATAATAAAAGTGCTGCATTTTTTATTTTTTATTTTTTATTTTTTTTTACAGCAGTAAATACTGTAATACAGAGTAGAACAATTATCTGCATTAGAAACAATGAGCAAAGAATAAATTATTTTTTCTAAGAAAAATCCACAATTAAGGCTACAGGATTACAACTTTATAGGCTTATATGACCGTTTTGGGGACTTTGGATTGTTTGTTTTGCATCAGTATTTCCTCACAGGTCTAACTTAAAGGAGCAATGTGTGATTTTTAGCGACATCTTGTGGTTCGGTTGCGAGTTTGCACCAGGTTTGCACTAAGGGCTCAGCCCACTGCTCACCCCTCCCTTTCGAAGAAGCTACGGTTGCTAAAACGGGACAAACATCTCGTCGGCTGAGACAGCAGAGAATAGCCAGAGTAAGCCAAGAGTGTGTAACATTGTCACTGTTTCTGTACCACAGTCCATTATAAACCACATTATGGATACTGTTTACAAAGCCATAGTCAGGTGAGGATCAAGGGTTTTAATATATAATTTAATATAATAATAGTAATCAGCTGATTGTCTCACAAACGTAACCAGCAGCACATTTCTCCCCACATACTGTAGCAAACCCATAATACAGCGAGGGAGCAGCTATATATTTTTTCTAACAGGGTAGTAATAGTTTAGCTGGCTAATATGAGCTGTTGCTGTGGCTGAGCTGGGACTCGTCCGCATGAGTCCAAAGGTCGGAAGTGCGCGCGCTGTTACAATCATGTCATCTCCGCATCCCATAGATACTATTTACTACACACAATAGGCTTTTTTTCTCTGATTTTTAAAATTCTTCGCGATCGACTTTAGTGATAAAAGACTTTAGTAAAAGTCTCTATCGACGGGTTAGTGATTCCTGTAACGTACTGTTTTACGGTCAATGACATGAATACTAATCATCAGCTGTCTCACGAACGTAACAGCACATCTATCCCCAACATAACAAACCCATAACACAGCGAGGGAGAACTAAGTTACATGAAACAATCCCAACTACATATTTTACACCACTCACAAGGGAAAAGTCACTACTCACGGAGTGTAAGGCTAGCTTCCAGCTTTCCGCTACTTCTCTTTCAAGGTAGTGATGAAACGCGTTCTGTAGCGCTGTTTGTTCGCGTTCGGCTACGGTAGGAATATGACGTCACAACATGGCGACCTTCATAGAAGGGGATTCCCGCGGTTATGGAGCTATTAATGTCTCATTCTAAGGTAATAAAAACATTACGGCTAATTAAGTAAGTTCTTTATACACCACTGAAAACATAGTTATGGATGTCATATTGCATTTCTGTTAATAGATACTCAACTTTTTTACACATTGCACCTTTAATAATTATCATTATCATGAAGTTCTGAGTAGCTGGAGATATGTCAGTCCAACTGAAACAAGTATAGGTCTACAGGTCTTTATTTTCCAGATTTTTCCCACACACACTTACAAATTCGGCCACACACACTCACAGGTAGTACTCATGGATAGGGTTGGGCGATATATCGCACGATATTGTTATGCACATCTAATCAGTAAAGCCGGTTCCTTGATTAGTAGTAAATCACCTTCACCTGCTTTCAGATGGAGCGGCATCATGGATGTTGTAATGTCGTAGTGTCAATTGCAATTCGTTTGTTGTGTCAGATGTCTTTTGGCAGGTGTTAATGTCAAGCCCTGTATATATGTATGAAGAGTTCAGATGCAAAAGCCTCTAAGTGCCATTTGAAATTTTCTTCTAGAATGATCATTTTTATCAAGCTTGTATATTTAAGTTCAGTAATTTCACTTAAATGACAATTAATAGGTAATCTTCATTGCAATTTAAGTGAAATTACTGAGCTTAAATATACAAGTTTGATAAATTATCATTCTGGAAGAAAATTTCAAATGGCACTTAGAGGCTTTTGCATCTGAACTCTTCATATATATATATATATATATATGTTTTTTTTTTTTTTAATAATCTAGAGGTTAATCAGACTTTTATTTTTCCTTTATCTGACAGTCTAACTCCATAGAGCGTCGGCGTC